TATGTGAATATGAGTGTGTCTGGTGCGTGTGCGTACTTGTACATTTATGCACTCCTCCTTCCTGTGTCTGAACCTGTTCTGGCATAGACAAGAACTCCCAGCAGCAGATACCACTGTGCCTCCTGCTTTGTTTCCCAGCTGGCTGACCTGGGGGCCTTGTTTCTGCAGTGGAAGCTAGCAGTCTGGACTGGGGGGGAAGCCTGGTGAGATTGCCCTCAGTCCCAGGGACCTGGGGGAGGGAGGGCAGGATTCTAGACCCTGCAAAGGTTTTCCTGCTAGTTAGGCAGGTCAGACCATTCTTTGCACTCGGTTCTTGGATTGCTTTCTTCCCTGCTCATGTGCTCCCTAGCTCATCTACCGAGTTACACGGCATCTTTTAAGGATGCTGAAAAACTCCCGGCCGAGGTTAGGTCGCTGCTGCGCATCCAGGAGGAACTGGCTAGAGGGCAAGCTCTGCTGGGCCTGCTGGCCTGGCCCTGGTGCCTCTGGGCTGTTATGCAGGCTGGATTCAGCACATTTAATGAGTGCAATGGCTCAGACACTGGCCAATCAAAGCAGGGATCGTGGGGCCCTTCTGCCAGGCCAGGCATTAACCCTTTAGTTGCTAGATTTGGAGGAAGCCCTGGGGAAGAGTTCAGACTATTGGAGCTGTAGGAAGAGGGCATCCATAGGTTTCAGGCCAGGAGCTATTTACCAGCTGGCACACAGTGCTGATTTTTAAACGGGAACATCGTTACTTTGTCTACCCACTAAGTACCCTCCCTGCCCAATGATCGCAAAGTGGAGCAATCCTATAGGAGCAAGTTCACCTCTCCAACTGAACTCAGCCCCCACCCCCACCCCCATCAGCTGAAAAACAAGGAGGTGGTGTTCGAACATTTGCCCGCATAGACAGGAGTACTGGCGCTGAGTGCCACCCCTCCACTGCACTGGAGCTCACTCAGTTAGGTAGACCCTGCTGCCCGATGTGTTCTTGCCTCTTCTGGGGATGGATCTTGCTGCAGTGTCCAGCTTGCTGGCTGTGCTACCTCGCCTACAGGTGGCACTGGAAATCTCGTCTGTCAAGAATCAAGTGCCCCATGAGGAACTCACTCAACCTATCTGATTGTTGTTACTATCCTTAATTTATGTCGCAGAGATAACTCTTGCTGCAGTTGTGGCCGAGACTGTGTTGGTAGCTTGGACGCTGGGTCTTGGAAGGACTCTGAGGTCCCTCTGGAGTCTACCTTTTTAAGATCTACCCCCTCATTTCCACCCCTGCCTCACCGGCTCCAGCATATGCCCTTCCCGCCAGAGTGCGCAGGGGGTCTACCCAGATTCTGCCTCTCTTCCTGCTTTGGGTGGGGTGTGGCCGGCACCTGCTGATAGCTGAGAAAGAGTGAGAAGTTAGCAGGAGAGATGGCTGGGGACCTGCAGGAAGAGGTTTTGTGCAGGGTGTGGATTAGGGGCCTGAGAGCAGTTGGCCTGGAGGTGGAGCAGGGCAGACCTTGGGGCAGGAAGTAGAACCCGAGCTGATTGTAGTAGGGATGGTTTAGGTGCTGCCAGGTGAGATGAGAGTAGACGTGCGTGCAGTCTCCCCTGCAGAGTGATCCCAGCAGATGGAGTTGGTGCGATGGAGAGTGAGGGCCATGAAGGGGCCACTGCTCCGGGATGGGCTGAGTGAGCTCAGGGAGGCAGCCTTCGCTGCGGTTTCTGAGTCCCCAGAGGTAGCTGTGGCACCGCTCCAGATTCTCAGGAAGGAAGTGATGACTCGTATTGTGCCGATTGCCCTTGTTACACTTGCCTTGGTCCTCTGGAAGGCATCTGACCCGACTCGACTTGCCACTTCCTGAGAAACACCACACAAGGTGGGGTGGGGTGGGGTGCAGGGCCAGGCAGACCACCTGTGTAGGAGGCTAGGTGGGCCGGAGCGCAGGCTGGGCAGTGATTGGATTGTGTGCTGCAGTGGTTCTGAAAGGGTGAGGTGTCATGAAAACCTGAGTGAGTGTGTGTGCGTGGGGAGGGAAGGTGCTTCTTAGACAACCAGTTTGGGCCTGGCATCTAGACTGGAGATGGGACGGAGTGGTGTTTTTGTCTGTTTTAGCACTCACCAGCAACCCTCCTTCCTTCTCACCCCATGTGCTGGTTCCCAGGACCCATATGCAG